CTCCCCTGGCCAGAGACCCCACCCCCAGCGTGCTCCTGCACCTTCCCTCATGCCTGCCTCCTCCCCCTGCCCCCCGCCCCCCCCCCCAGCCTGCTCCCGCACATTCCCTCATGCCTGCCTCCTCCCCTTGGCCAGACACCTCCCCCCAGCCTGCTCCCGCACATTCCCTCATGCCTGCCTCCTCCCCTTGGCCAGACACCTCCCCCCAGCCTGCTCCCGCACATTCCCTCATGCCTGCCTCCTCCCCTTGGCCAGACACCTCCCCCCAGCCTGCTCCCGCACATTCCCTCATGCCTGCCTTCCCCCTGCAGAAGCGGGTCACAATCACCCTGTGGAAGCTCATCACCCCAGACAGCTACCGGTTAGTGGGCAACCAGTTTGGGGTGGGGAAGTCCACCCTCAAGGCCCTCCTGTTGAAGGTAAGGAGCTCTCAGGTTGAAGTCTCTACATGGCAGGGAGGGGAGAGTGTAACATAAGGAGGACCCTCAGGGGAGTGGTGCTGGGGAATATAGGGGGTGGAGTGGGGGTGGGGGGACAGCCCTGTCCCTGGGAACCTTGTGCTGCCCTGCTCTCCACAGCCCTTCTGCTGGAGGAGTGGGGGACGGAGTAGGCTTATAGGAGGTGGCTCCTAGGAGGATTTTTTTGGGGGGAGGCACAGGAGGGGAAGGAGCTCAGTCACTCCCTCTCTCATTCTCTATTTTGTGTATTTGTGTGTCTGCTACTGCAGATGGTGAGGGCCATCAACTCCCTGCTGCTGAGGAGAGTCATCTGTCTGGAGGATCTGGACATGACCGTGGCTGGACTTGGTGCCCTGGGGTTCCCCAGATGCTGGGGAGCCATTGACAGGACACACATCCCGATCAGAGCACCGGACTATCAAGTGGCCCAGTTTATAAATAGGAAGGTCTACTTGTCTGTTGTGCTGCAGGCCCTGATGGACCTATGTCGCTGGAGGTGGGAACCTTTTTCCCACACTGGGACTTTGCAGTGGGTGACATGAACATGTCACTGTCATCGTGGGGGACAAAGCCTACATGCTAATGCCCTGGCTGATAAAGCCATATAGCAGACACCTCAACCCGCAGCAGGGAGCAGTACAATGCCCACCTCAACCGAGCCCAGATGCAGGTCGAGTGTGCCTTTGGGTGCCTCAAGGGACACTTCCAGTGTCTCCTCACTCACCTGGATGTCAGAGAGCACAACATCCCTGAGGTGGCAGCAGCATGCTGTGTGCTCCACAATATTGTGCAACACAAGGGGGAGGCCTTCCTCCCGGAATGGCTGGCAGACACTGGCCACGAGGGCCACTTGTTTGAGCAGCCCTGGACAGCTGCCACCTGCTAGGCCAATCAGTTGGAGGTGCGCCCGAGGGCGAGGTTCTCTCAAGCACCCCAGTAACTCTCCCCAGGGCCTCCCCAAAAGGGGCCTCTTCTTTTCAGCTCTCTACCTTTCCCCTCTCAACCCCCCTCCCCACTTACCCCCTTCCCTTACCTCCCAATAAACACACCTATTTGGTTTCAGAACAAAAGGAGTCTTTTTTTATTTAAAGGTGGGCAGGAGGAAGGGGGACTCTGAACTGGGAGGGGGGATCAGGACTGGGAGGAGGAGTGGGGTAGCTCAAAGTCCCACCTTGGGTGCAGGGACCTCATCGGGGTTGGGTGGGTCTGGGCAGGAAGGGGGCTAGAGCGGGGTCTGGGTTGGCAGGGGGGCCATAGGCATCACTTGGGGAGGGGGCATGGGCATTGCTAGGGGAGGCAGCGGAGGCATGGCATGGAGAGGGATTAGAGACATAGCAGGGTGGGCTGGCGGATGAGCAATGGCCATAGGCAGGGGTGCAGGAGCATCAGGCGGGTGTGCCGCCATGCGGGACATGATGCCACACATGGTATTACAACATGCCAGCATTTGTGCTCTGTAGGGTAGACATAGCCTGATGTTGGTGTTCTGACCAGTTAGTGCTTCCTTGTTGATCAACACATTATGAGTGCAGGGAGGCCAAATGAACAAGTACCTTGAATTCATAGGGAAATGGTCGGCCTTTAATCGAAATGACACATGAAAGGAAGTATCCCAAGAGGAGAAATTTTCACTCTTTTGAGTGAATTCTGAACCCAAAAAGGGAAAGGGCTTTAGCCAGGGAGGGAGCAGAATAACACCAAAGGGAGAGAACAGAGGCCTCTTTAGAGGCCGGGGGAAACTCCCCCATCGATTCAGATAATGTCTACACTGAAGTCACTGCAATGACCCAGGTGTGGTACAGCTGAAGTGTCATAGTGTGGATGCTTTCTACATTTCTACAATGGCTATTAGCCAGGATGGGTAAGGAATGGTGTCCCTAGCCGCTGTTTGTCAGAGGGTGGAAGTGGATGGCAGGAGAGAGATCGCTTGATTATTACCTCTTCAATTCTCTTCCTCTGGGGCACCTGGCATTGGCCACTGTGGGCAGACAGGATACGGAGCTGGATGTACCTTTGGTCTGACCCCGTATGACTGTTCTTATGTTCTTACTGATGGAAGGCATAGCTAGGAAAATGGAAGAATAGCCCCAAGGGGTTTGTTTTTGATACTTAACTTATCAACAAGTATAAAACCAGAAATACACAATCAAGGGAGCTGAAGTTTTCATCCTACCTCCTTTCCTTTTCCTAGCCCCCCCATTGCGCTACAACCCAAGCAGAAGTCCCTTCATCAAGGTAAATTAAAAGCAAGGGACTGCTAAAACCTTAATTGACCAACACTGGTTCCCCAATTGTTGCATCAAACAGGATGGGCCATTCAAAAAGGCCTGCTGATTCAAGAAGGAAGCCCATAAAAGTCCTTTTCATCAGGCTTTGCCAACACCTAAAAGCAAACAGCTCACAATGGGACGGAATACAGGCCAAGCTGTAAAGACTGAAGAGATAAATATACCATTGACACAACTGGTGACTGAGATAGAGGAACCAGGCCCTTTAAACATCAGGCTCTTTGGACAGACATAAGAAGAGTCTGGTGCCAACTGCTTATTAATGTACATGTGGCCATGGGCCATCTTGTGTCTTGGATGGTGTAGGTCAGAATTTCTCAACCTCTTTATTTCAGAGATCCTCTCCAACAAGATCTATGGCCCATTTCCAGACAAGTGATTTCTATTAAATTTAAGACATTGTTTGAAGAGAGATATTGGAACCTGTTAATGAGAGCAGGGAACTGGGCATGACAATTACTAGAGGTTCCTTACAGTTCTATGATTCTATGTCTGTGATCTTCTCGTGAACTCCTCTGGACATCATGTGGTCTCCATCAAGTACAATGAAAGATCATTTTTTTCCTTCTTTGTGGAGGAAGCTAGGAAGGGAAGGTCACAGAAAGCCAAGGAGACAGTCTGTAGTACATCTAGATATCCTACAGGTTTTACATTCCACTTATTGGTGTCAGGAGCATGAGGTGATTCTGAAAACAGGAACAACTGAGAAGACCTCAACTCCAGCAACAACAATTAGCACTTTCCAGTTCTATCGAACATTCTGTTCTTTTCATTCTAAAATTGTTGCTAAGTCTGGTTGAAAATTTTTCTGAAAAAGTTTTTTTTTCTTAAATTTTGTGCTAGGAAATTGTGTTTTCATGCAATTCACCTCTTGCTCTGTAACTCTGAGATAAGTTGCATCATTTAATGACACAGAAGGAGAATGCGGGCCTAATTAATCCCCAGGACATGAGTGACACTGAGGGTGGGTTTAACCCACTGAGCACATTAATTAGGTGTTTTGTCTCTCAGAAGCCAGGTCCTCCCAGTATAAAACTTCCTGAATGTTTCAAACTGGCAGTGTCTGCCGATGAGGAAACACCACCACATCTCTCTCCTCAGCAGGATTAAGATATTGCTCTGCATCACAGGCACACACCCACAGAGATGCCATGGTGAGCGGCAGGTACTGAAGGCTTTTAAAACTAAGCGCTTCTTCCCAGGTCTTACCCGTTCAGCTAAACAACTAACCTCTTTGGGTTCAAATATTAGGCAATTAGAAAATCCCAGCCACCCGCATTTTCCATTCCTGGGAGCAATTTTAACCCAATCCGACATGCCGAGCCACAGATCTCCCTTTCCCCAAAGGGCTAGAAGCGTTCATTTGTTTCCTCTCACCCCTTCTTCAGTGTCTTCTGTCTGAGATGTTTTTCACCCTGATTCTTTCGAAGAAGAATGACAAATCACTGTTTGCTGCTCAGATTTGTAAATAGGAGTGTTTATGTATGTGTGCTGTGAATAACCTGCATGTCCTTGCATTTGAACAGCGTTCACATGGCATGGAACACCTGGAAAGACCAACTGTGAACATCTGGCTCTGCGGACGAAGCCCTTCCCTGAGATCATAATTACTTCCAACAAGAAACCGATCCCTATTTTTGTTCCCTTACTTCATTACAGCAAAGGATTAGTTTCCCTGAGACATCCCCCTGCCCGTATCCCTGTAGCTGCCTGATCTCTGCTCAGAGGAGATGGAAGAGGGAAATCACTCGGTGGTGACTGAATTCATTCTCTCAGGACTGACGGATCGTCCGGAGTTGCAGGTCCCCCTGTTTGTGTTGTTCCTACTGATTTATGTTCTCATCATAGTAGGGAATGGGGGGATGTTTTTGTTGATCACGATAGACCCTCGACTCCACACCCCTATGTATTTTTTCCTCAGGAATTTGTCTTTCTGTGATCTCGGCTATTCCACACTAATTGCCCCTAAGATGCTGCAGAATTTCTTAGCCGAGAGGAAGAGCATTTCTCTCACTGCCTGTGCCGTGCAAATTTATATCAGTGGTTTGTTTTCAGATATGGAGTGTCTCTTGCTGGCTGTGATGGCGTATGACCGCTATGTGGCCATCTGTAACCCGCTGCTCTATACAGTCACCATGTCCCGGCGGTTCTGTAACCAGCTGGTGGTTGGGATGTGTGCTGTGGGCTTGGTAGAGTCAATGATACAAACGTGTCTGACGTTCCGGCTGTCATTCTGTCGCTCTAATGTCATCAATCATTTCTTCTGTGATATGGCCCCATTGCTAGCGCTCGCCTGCTCTGACACCCGCCTCAATGAGACTGTTCTATTGGCCTTCACATGCTTGATTGTAGTGAGCAGCTTTGTGACCATCCTCCTCTCCTATGTCTATATCTTCTCCACCATCCTAAGAATCCGCTCTATTGAGGGCTGCAGCAAAGCCTTCTCCACCTGCATTTCTCACTTGATTCTGGTGGTCATGTTTTATGGCACAGCCCTTTTTGTGTATTTACGACCCGTCTCCAGCTATTCCATGGACACAGACAAAATGGCCTCGGTGTTCTACACGCTGGTGATTGCCATGTTGAACCCCCTCATCTACAGCCTGAGGAACAGGGAAGTGAAGGACGCCTTGAGGAAAGCCACGAACAAACTCTTAAGCACTTCTTGAATCTGTTTACTTCAGGACTTGTGGAATGACTGGGAGTGGAGCCAGGTGAATTCAATATCCAGCCCACTCAAATGTCATTTTGCAGACCCCAGGATAGTGATGTTCACTATTGTTTTCATTATAAATGTGTTTGTGTTTCAACAAGGCCTGCAGGCCCCTACTGAGGTCAGGGCTTCATTAGGTTTCTGCCGTGGGACCATTCAAAGATCCACCTGCTTCACTTGTGTGAGTATGTAAATATGTGTGATGGGCTTAGAAAGCATGGAGCAGTTAGTTTTGAGAAAGAAGATGGGCATCGAAATCTGCCTCTTTGTAGGGGAGGGTGTTTTCATTGGGCCTTTGCAAATGTAATCTGTTTTTTGTCTGTGGCTAAACCAAAGGACGTTTTGCACACCCTCCTTAGATTCTGCAGCCCTTTATGCGCTCCATGGGCTTGTTGTCGAGATTGGTACCTGGTTGCTGTCCATGCATGAGGAGAAAAAAAGGAAATATCCACCACAGTGGCCTTTATTTTTTTTAGGGGAGCAAGAGAACAAGGAAGAGCAAGGGTACCACATCCAGGAGAAAGCACAGAGTGTGTGTCTTTGTGGCCATCCACACATTGTGAAGAAGCTGAGCTTTTCTCTGGAGAAGCAGGAAACCCAAGTGCGCAAGTTTGCCTCACATGGACAAAGGGAAAATTGAAGCTGGGTCTTTTACTCCACTAGTGAACATAAGAACATAAGAACGGCTGTACTGGGTCAGACCAAAGGTCCTTCTAGCCCAGTATCCTGTCTGCCGACAGTGGCCAGCACCAGGTGCCCCAGCGAGGGTGGACTGAAGACAATGATCAAGCGATTTGTCTCCTGCCATCCTTCTCCAGCCTCTGACAAACAAAGGCCAAGGACACCATTTTATCCCCGGCTAATAGCCTTTTGTGGACCTAACCTCCATGAAATTATCTAGCTTCCCTTTAAACTCTATTATAGTCCAACTCTATTATAGAACACACTAACTATTGGGTAAAATGTAGCAAAGGGAGGGTGCACCACTTCCTACTGTCTTTGACTGCTTTCTGGTGAATACCAAAACTCTTCCCACCCAGCCACACAAGGCTCTGGAACATGGTAACATGGGACATAACAGTGGATAGTTTCAAAACAACCGAAATGGCTTTGTGTGTTGACAATAAGTGAATGCCTGACTGACCTGTCTGTGTTTCCACTAGGAAGGTTTCTACACAAGGAACCGGACTAACACTTGGATAAGAGGCCGTTTGTCGGCAGGAAGAACGTGGTGAGCTACAAATCCACATTCTCGCCAGCACACAGCAGGGATTTTCTGCCCCCTCTGTCTTTGTCTCCTAAGTGTCAGCTGGAGATGGTTTTACTGGAAGGGAACTGTGACTATGGAGAGAGAAGGCAAATGCCCCGAAGGCTCTCTTGCTCCGTTTTTCTCTTTTCAAGGCATCAACATCATCTGAAGGAAATGGATAGTTGGGGAGGGTTCTAGCTGAAAGACATCCAGCCAGTTGGACTGCAAAAGCAGGTGGTGAGAGAAATCGTTTCTTTGAATTTACTTAAAGTCTTAAATCAGAATTAGTTGCATTTGACCTTTTACTTCTTTCTAACTGATTCTGACCTTTATGCCTCATTGTTTGTAACCACTTATTCAATAAATGTGTCATTTTTTAAGCCACTGCAGTTTTGTATTGAAATATTTGGCAACCTCTACTTGAGAACCAGATTTTCACATCATTCTCTGTTAATAAAATGACAGGAGTTTTTATCATCTTGATGCAGTGGTCTGTGGACAGTACCAGACACACATTCCATTAAGCATCACTATGCCTTGTGACCTAGAAAAAGCATCATGTGATTCTCTTGTCCATGAAGCTCCTGAAGGTACAGCCCAGAGCTTCAGATGTGATTTCTTTGCATAGCCGTTATACTTAGACCAAGGAACAAAACTGGGATTAACCTAGGTAACGAGGAAAAGACACTGTGGAGAATACTTTTTAGAGGTGGTGCAGAACTGAGGCAGTGTTCAAAGGAGTGTTAATTTCATATAATGTATAGATTCCGTGGGATACATGGCATTTATGGGATCTGTTCAGAATTACCGAGTTGTGAACGAATGAAGAGCAGCACCCAAATCTTGTAAATAAGGGCCTGATGCACACGACACTGGAACATGTTGTGGTTTGGTCTGATTCTGAGCTAGGCTAGAGCACTGGGACTACAGGTTGACTCTACTGAAATTTTTGTGGTTCTTCTGGAGCTATAATAGGAGAACTGAGTGAATACTGTGGCCCATGGCGTTTACACGAAGGCTGGGAAATTACTTAAGGAGACATTTGGGGAGGTGGGCAACACATACATTGGAATACGCTCACCTCATTCTAGGACCATACTAAAGAGACCTCATGAGAGATGCAGTGTTCCAGACCCGCTGATGCTCTGACCCTCTGTGTGCTGTTTACGTAAGAAAAGATATGGCAAGAACATTAATTGCACACCTAGGGTGTGTCTAGGCTACAGGGTTTTGTAGACAAAAGTGGACTTTTGTCGACAAAAGTATACCTGCATCTACACTACCACCGAGTTCTGTCAACAGAAGCAGCAGTTTTGTCGATGGCTGTAAACCTCATTCTACAAGGAAAAATGCCTTTTGTCAACAGAGTTCTGTTGACAGCAGGCATTATTGCATCTACACTGTCCTTTGTGTCTACATTGGAAAACAGTCTTACAAAACAGGGCGTGCATCTACACGGCATCATTTTTCCAGAATAATGGCTATTATCCAGGAAAAACAATACAAGCATCCACACAGCAATTGCGTTATTTTGAAAGAAAATCAAAATAACGGAGGGCTTCTTCTGATGTTGGTAAACCTCATTCCATGAGGAATAAGGCCTCTTCCAAAAAAGTTTTTTCAGAAGAGGGTGTGTATGGGCGCTCCACTGCTGGTTCCATCAATACTTATTAGCCAGGATGCGCAGGAATGGTGTTCTCTTTGTCAGAGGCTGGGGATGGATGACAGGGGAGGGATCACTTGATGATTCCAGGTTATATTCCCTCCTTCTGGGGCACCTGGCATTGGTTACGTTGGCACACAGGAAAATGGTCATCATGTGAGCTCCATCAAGCACAATGAGCGAACCTCTCTTTCCTTTTGTGGGGAGGATCCTAGGAACGGAAGGACATAGAAACTATGGTGATTAGTAATCGTGATAGATAGATAGATAGATAGATAGATAGATAGATAGATAGATAGATAGATAGATAGATAGATAGATAGATAGATAGATAGAAAGAAACTGGCATGTCCTACATCTTTTACATTCCACTATTGAGATTGCCACAATGTGCACTAAAGGACAATAAAACTGAATGGTCCCCTCCTAAAGGAATTATCATTTCCATGAAAATTATCAGTTTTCCATCAACGTGTTAAGCTCGTGTCCTGAAAGGTCCACGGTTGTGGGATTCTGATCATGTTCCAGGGAAGTTCAGCAAGAGGGGAGACTAACATGCAGCATAGGGTATGGAATCGAGCCGGGGAGCCTGGCCCATAGTAGAGAAGGGTGGGGTGTGGTACCTGAGGGACCCCTGTGGCTTTTCTGAGATAATACATTGAGTATTCTTCCAAAAATGTTTGGTCTCCACAATCACCAAAACCAATCCACTATTTGTGCTTCAGCTTTACTCCACAGAAAAAAAGAAGGTGAATTATACCCCTAGTCCCGTACTTGGTAACTCCGATGGAAATTGCATCATTTAATAGCACCAGGGGGGAAACATGGTCCAAATTAATCCCCAGGGCATGAGCTACACTTTGGTTCTCAGAACATATTAATGAGATGTTGTGTGTCTCTGAGCTCAGGTGTCCCCAATTGATTTAGGAAGCACATCCCATTGATCACAGAACACGATATAAAGCTACCTGACTGCTTCACACTGGCATTTTCTGCATCCGGGGAAACATCACCACATCCCTCTCTTCTCAGCAGGTAGGTGCTGTTGTCCTGCATCACGGTCACAAGCCCATACAGACACCATGTTCCTGAGCAGCGACTGAAGTCCACATCTCTAGAATGAAAAGCCTCAGCCCAAACTCCTATACCATGAGCTAAAGGATCAATCCCTTTGGTTGGAAAGCACAGACAATTACATAGTCACTGAGTGGAGTGCTTTCTGGGAAGACTCGGGGTTGTCCTATAAATGACAGAACATGCGGCTGTCAGATGTCAAAAAGCTTAATTAGCATACTAAGCCGTCTTTACCCCAAAATGACATGCTGAGCCACAGAGCTCCCCTTACCCAAAGAGGACACGTGTTTACTGTCACCGCTTCTTCAGCTGAGGAATAATCTCTTTAGGCTAAGATTTCACCCGATTCCCTCACAGAAATTACAGGAGTAGCTGTTTTTCTCTTGGCTTAGTGAACAAGGGTGTTATTGTGTAAGGTATGATTCACCTGCCTGTCCTTGTGTTTGTACAGTGTGTGCATTGTATGGAAAAACTAGAAGGACCAATTGTGAACATCTGGCTCTGTGTCCAACTATTGGTGTTCATTATGTAACTGATTTCCATTTTCTTCAACTATTTCATTACAGAAAAGCACGAGGTTGCCCAGACCTTCCACCTGCCCACATCCCTGCAGCTGCCGGATGTCTGCTCAGAGGAGATGGAAGAGGGAAATCACTCGGTGTTGACTGAGTTCATTCTCACAGGTCTGACAGATCGTCCGGAGTTGCAGCTCCCCCTGTTTGGGGTGTTCCTTCTGATTTATGTTATCACCCTACTAGGAAACGGGGCGATGATCTTTTTAATCATCACTGATCCCCGACTCCACACTCCCATGTACTTTTTCCTTGGCAATTTGTCTTTCTGGGACCTCTGCTATTCCTCCATAATTTCCCCCAAAATGCTGCAGAATTTCATAGACAAGAAGAACAGCATTTCTTACACTGCCTGCGCTGTGCAATTGTATTTCTTTCTTTATTGTGTAGATATGGAGTGTCTCTTGTTGGCTGTGATGGCGTACGACCGTTATGTAGCCATCTGTTATCCGCTGCTGTATACGGTCACCATGTCCAGACAGCGCTGTAACCTTCTGGTGGCTGGGGTGTGTGCTGTGGGGTTGGTGGATTCAATGATACTCACGTATTATACATTCAGTCTGTCATTCTGCCGCTCCAATATCATCAACCATTTCTGCTGTGACACCCCCCCACTGCTGGCACTCTCCTGCTCAGATACCCGCACCCTTGAGATTGTGATGGTTGCCTCTATGTGCTACATTGAAGTGACCAGCATTGTGACTGTCCTCCTCTCTTATGTCTATATCTTTTCCACTATCTTGAGGATCCGCTCTGCCAAGGGCTGGCGCAAAGCCCTCTCCACCTGTGCTTCCCACTTGTGCGCGGTGGTCATATTTTATGGCACTGTCCTTTTCATGTATTTCCGACCCTCCTCCAGTTATTCCATGGACACGGACAAGGTAGCTTCAGTGTTTTACATGCTGGTGATCCCCATGTTGAACCCCCTCATCTACAGCCTGAGGAATAAGGAAGTGAAGGACGCCATAAGAAAAGCCATGAATAAACTCCTGACCGATTCTTAAATCTTCTCAGTGGTAGTTGAGAGATGGGAAAGGAAAAGAAGGAATTTATTTCCAAACCTGTTGCAATATAATTTCTCAGAGCCCGTGGTGATATTGTTCATTATTATATTTTTATGGTTTAATTAATTTGTTTGTATCCAACAAGCACTGCTGGCCCCAACTCAGATCAGCGTTTCAGGGCTTTATTCGGCTATTACCCCAGCAAAATTTAAGGAGTCACCACTTTCACCTGTGTGTGAGAGTGCATAAATATATGTGAGGTGCTTTTAAAGAATGGATCAGTTCCTTTCAGGAAAGAACAGAGGAGCATGGAGCATACGTTCCTCTTCATAATGAGGTTGGTTTAATTATTCATTTGCAAGCATGAAGTGCATGATATGTGTGTTTAAGGGAAGGGCGTTTTCCAATAACCTTATGGGGTATCAGAAGGTTATGTCAATTTCCATTCTCCTCCTCAAGGATGGACAGAAACCATAGGACAATCTCTCCATCACAATGGTCTTTATTTAAAGTTAAGGAGCAATAAAAGTAAAAGAGCAAGGGCTCTTTTCAGAAGAGAGTACCGCGTATGGTCCCCTGTGATGCCGATACCAAAGTAAGAACAAAATAGCATCGACAGTGTGCATTTTTCCTAACACAGAGCTAGTCAATGTGCAGCCTAAGGGTTTATTTGCAGCCCATAGTGCAGTTTGGCTTTAGACAGGGCTCAACATATGGCTTGCATGTGGGAACTTTTGAACATGACCTCTACTGGGAACACGCTCCATAATGGAAAGTCAATAGAATGGTCTTCTGTTGAGATGCATTTGAGTAATTACATTCCTGGCCTGTCATTGCACATTAAAAGTGCTGTCATATGCGTGGAAATGGGGTAACTATTGCTTTTTATTACTATCAGCAAAACTGACTGAAATGGGGCCTGTGTGTTGTGTAGCCTTGCCTTAATCTTTGTATTCATGCCAGTCAGTGTGAAAGAAGCTATTTGCATATATTTGCATGTATATGAAATAACACTAAAGTTGCAGCCCTTGGTATGAGCTGTGAGTATCACTGTGGTCCCCAGGTCTTCGAAAGTTGAGGAGGCTTGCTCTACAACATAAACTGAAGGCTAAAGTCACTTCAGAGATGTATGAGATCAGCAGGTTTGTGGTAAGTTCTTCCTCTTAGTTCCGTTGAAAAGTATTACTAGACTATCTAAATCAGACTCTGGAAAGTTGATCGTGGCAGTATTGATCTTCCACCTAACCTTCAGGTCCTTCTCTTTTGGGTGTTCTCATTGATTTATGTTATCACCTTTGTAGGGAATGGGGGGATGATCTGGGTAATTACAATTAACCCCCAACTTCACACCCCCATGTACTTTTTTCCTCAGGAGTTTGTCTGTCTGTGAGCTTTGCTATTCCACACTAATTGCCCCTAAGATGCCGCATAATTTCTTAGCCAAGAGGGAAAGCATTTCTCGCAGTGCCTGTGCTGTGAAAATATACCTGAATGTCTTCCTTCCTGTCCTTTTCATGTATTTCCGACCTATAACCATTATTTGGCCATCTGTAACCCCCTGCCCTACAGGACCAACGTGTCCCAGTGGTTCTGTAATCAGCTGGTGGCTGGGGTGTGTGCTGTGGGGTTGGTGAATTCCGTGACACACACGTGTCTGACATTCCAGCTGTCATTCTGCCGCTCTAATGTTTTCTGGTTTCTTTCCATGCATGAGGAGAAGAAAGCAAATATTCATCACAGTGGCCTTTATTTTCCTTTAGGGGAGTATCAAACAAGGAAGAGCAAGGGTACCATGTTTAAGAAAAAGCACAGTGTGTGTGTCTCTGTCGCTGTACACGCATTTTTAAGAATCTGAGATTCTCTCTGGAGAAGCAGGAAATCCAAGCTCACAACTTTCCCTCATGTGGACAATGGAATAAATTGAAACTTGGTCTTGCACCTCACAGGGGACAATGTAGCAAAGGGAGGGTGTACCGATACCTCCTATCTTTGGCTGCTTTTAGGTGAATTCTAAAACTCTTCCCACCCATCCACACTAGGCTCTGGGACAAGCCAATTGTGGATAACTTCAGGTAATTCAAAGTGGCTTTGTTTGTTGACAATAAGTGAATGCCTGACCAACCTGTCTGTATATCCACGAGCTAGGTGTCAACAAAAGGAACCAGACTATCATCTGGATAAGAGGCAATTTGTGGACATCAAGAAGGTGGTGAGCTAAAATCCACATTCTAACAAGCAAACAGCTGGGATTTTCTGCCCTCTCAGTCTTTGTCTTCTGAGCGTCAACTGGGGATGGTTTTATTAGAAGGGAACTGTGACTATGGAGAGAGAAGGCAAATGCCCGGAAGGCTCTCTTGCTCCGTTTTTCTCTTCTCAAGGCATCAACACCATCTGAAGGATGCACTGGATTTGGGGTGGGTTCTGGCTGAAAGGCATCCAACCAGATGGACTGCAAAAGCAGGTGGTGAGAGAAATCTTTGGATTCACTTAGCCTGTTAAACAAGAACTAGTTGCACTTGAACTTTTATTTCTTTGTAAGCAATTCTGACCTTTATGCCTTATTATTTATAACCACTTATTCAATAAAAGTATCATTTTTAAACCACTTCAGTTTTGTATTGATATATTTGGGGACCTCTACTAGAAAACCGGATTTTCACATTATTTTCTGTTATTAAAATACAGGATTTTTTTATCAGCTTAAATTGCTCCAGTGGTTGGTCAACATTACCAGACTCACATTCCATTATGCATCACTATGCCCTGTGCTGTTAGCGCTCCGTGCTGTTGTATTGAAAAGTAGCATGTGATTCTCTTGTTCATGAAGCTGCTGGAGGGAGAGCCCAGAGCTTCAGATGTGATTTCTGTGCATAGCCGTTATGCTCAGACCAAAGACCAAAACTGGGATTAAACCAGGTGAAGAGAAAAAGACACTGTGGGCTGTGTCAAGACTGGCAAGTTTTTCCACAAAAGCAGCTGCTTTTGTGGAAAAACTTGCCAGTCTTGACACAGCCCACAGTGTCTTTTTCTCTTCACCTGGTTTAATCCCAGTTTTGGTCTTTGGTCTGAGCATAACGGCTATGCACAGAAATCACATCTGAAGCTCTGGGCTCTCCCTCCAGCAGCTTCATGAACAAGAGAATCACATGCTACTTTTGAGCCCCCATCGCGAAAATAGCGACCAGGGCTTTTTTGCGGAAAAGCGCATCTAGATTGGCACGGACGCTTTTCCACTAAAAGTGCTTTTGTGGAAAAGCGTCCGTGCCAAGCTAGACACTCTTTTCCACAAATGCTTTTAACGGAAAACTTTTCTGTTAAAATCATTTGCGGAAAATTATGCCAGTCTAGACGTAGCCTGTGGAAAAAACATTTTACGAGTGGTGCAGAACTGAGCGTGTGAAATGGTCACAGCGGCATAGAGCATTAATAATCTCTACGTCCCAAGGCAGTTTACAAAGGACTGTTCATTCCATATCATAATGTATAGAGACTCTGGGAAACCTGGCGTGTATGGGATTAGCTCAAACTTACCCAGTTGTGAATCAACGAAGAGCAGAATCCAAATCTTATGGAGAAAAGCTTGATGCACATGACACTGGAACATATGGGCTGTGTCTACACTCCCGGCTTCTTGCGCAAGTAATATGCAAATGAGGCTAAGCATGGAATATCCCCGAGCCTCGTTTGCATACCTAATGAGCCACTTTTTTTTCAGAAGAGGCTCTTGTGCGAAAAGGAGAGTCTATACTGCGCCTTCTTGCACTAAAAACCCCCTCTTGCGCAATGCCATTCTTCCTGAAAAGTAATAGGACACTGGGCTAGATGGGCCTTTGGTCTGACCAACTCTGTCCACTCTTATGTTCTTATAATAATGATTCTATTCAAAATAGTCATTTCCAGTGTTACAGAGAAGCACCAAATCTATAATGGAGAGTAAATGGCTGTGCTCTCCTAACTCCTCTGGACATCATGTGAGCTCCATACAGCACAAAGGTCTATAAAATCATGAGTGGTGTGGAAAGGGCCGATAAAGAGAAGTTATTTATTAGTTCCCTAATTAGAAGAACTAGAGGACACCAAATGAAATTAATGGGGAGCAGGTTTAAAACTAATAAAAGAAAGTTCTTCTTCACACAGCGTGTAGTCAACCTGTGGAATTCCTTGCCAGAGGAGGCTGTGAAGGCTAGGACTATAATAGAGTTTAAAGAGAAGCTAGATAAGTTCATGGAGGTTAGGTCCATAAAAGGCTATTAGCCAGGGGATAGAAATGGTGTCCTTGGCCTCTGTTTGTCAGTGGCTGAAGAGAGATGGCAGGAGACAAATCGCTTGATCATTGTATTCGGTCCACCCTCTCTGGGGCACCTGGTGCTGGCCACTGTCAGCAGACAGGCTACTGGGCTAGAAGGACCTTTGGTCTGACCCAGTACGGCCGTTCTTATGTTGTTATATAATGAGGGAACCTCTCTTTTCTCTTGTGTGGAGGATCCTAGGAAGGGAAAGACTGTGGTTAGATAGATAGATAGATAGATAGATAGATAGATAGATAGATAGATAGATAGATAGATAGATAGATAGATAGATAGATAGATAGATAGATAGATAGATACTGGCATGTCCTACATCTTTTACATTCCATTATTGAGATTGCCACAATGAGCAGTGAAGGACACAGAAATTGAATTGTCCCCTCTTTAAGGAATTATCATTTCCATGAAAATTATCGGCTTTCCATCACCGTGTTAAACTTGCTTCCTCACCAGACCATGTCTGTGGGATTCTGATGATGATCCAAGGCAGTTCAGCAAGAGGGGAGACCAACATGCAGCATGGGGGATAGAGTCGAGCCAGGGAGCCCGGCCCATGGAAGAGAAGGGTGGGGTGTGGTACCTGAGGGACCACCATGGCTTTTCTGAGATGATAAATTGAGTTTTCTTCCAAAAACTTTTGGTGTCCACAAGCACCAAAAGAAATCCACTGTTTGTCCTTCAGCTTTACTCCAT